TGCTAGTGCTCATTGAACTTGCTAAAGTTCAGGACCAAGCTGTACCAGTGTGTTATCACCACTTAGGGAAGACACCACAGGCAGCTACTCTGCTTTCCAGGGACTCAAAGTTGGCATCCATTCTCCCAGATGGATGTGATTTACCTGTACTAGTACCTGTAACTGCTTTGTCCTTTCGACTCTAGGTGTGTTCTCACTAACACTGTCACGGGCTGGGCACATACCTATGTCAGGGTAGCAAACACCTCTGTCTGCTGGTTAGACACAAAGATGCCTGAGAGTTCTGCCCCTGGATTAGCCTGGCAAATCCAGACTATTTCCCTGGACAGTTGGATGTGATTGGGAAACTTTCATTGCTACCTCAATATGGGATGAAACTGGCAATGAGTTTTAGTAATCCTAGATGATGGGGCTTGTTTTCTGATTATATGTGGCTACAACATATATTGTTGTGGCCTGTGGATACAGAGCTCTGTCCTCCTCTTTGCATAAGGGCTCTTTGCATAAGACTTCAGACATGTAGATTGTATGTCAAGGAATCCTAAAGGGGTGGATTGTAAGGCAGGCCCAAAATGGCAAAAGTTAGGCTCCCTCAACAAGACTTGCAGTGGACTGTTCAGTGTGTAGTTAAGGTCATGAATACCCTGATTCAGAATATGAATTCAAGGTCATAAACATTTACTTGTGAGCATGTGCCCACTAATGTAACCTTTTTGTCTGGCCTGGGTATAAAAAAGCCCTATGAAAATGGCTTGGGGGTAGGGGCAAAATGGAACTGGCTGGGGGCTGAAGCCGGAGCTGGGGTCTGGTTGGGGGCTGTCTAGGGGCTAAAACCACCTCTGGATAAAGCATATCTATTATCCCAATTGTGTCTTGCATCTTCCATTTGCTGGCATCCTGAATCTCTTTCCTGGATCTGCGTAGGCTCCCTGACTAATGCTATTTCTGTTTTGGAATTAGGAATTATACAACCTAATATACCTGGGTTTTAAATCCTGAAATCACATAGCACTAGACCTAAAAATGATGTGTATTTATGCATCCTTTAACCTACATATCCTGCATTCTGAGTATAGTCTAAATTATGCTGCAGTAACAAAAAATCTCTAAATATCAGTAGTTCAAAGCAACAAAGAATTCTTTCATGCTCAAACTATACAACATTATGGAGTGGCCAGGAGCTTTGAGTCATGTACATTCTAAGAAACATCCTGACAAGGCAGCTGCTGCCTGGAATCTTGCTCATTCCCATAGATGAAGGAAAGAAACACACTGGGTTCTTAACACTTTACCAGAAATGACATACCATTTTCAATCAATTTCTTTAACCAAATGAAGTTACATGGGCAGGGATAGACTGAAAGGCAGAGCAATATTCCCATGTGCCTAAAGGAAGAGCCAAAATTTTGGGTGAATTGCACTAATGACTACTTCTCCCTTACATTTTACAATGAAGAAATTAGGACTAGAGAGATGTTGTCAGTTGTAATGTCATGAAGCTGATTTATATCTTAGCAGAGACTAAAACTGAATCTTAGATTCCCTGCCCATTGCTTTTTCTAGATGAGGAACTGCTTGTTCCTTAGTCCAAATAAATACATTTAAACATCTTGGTGTCAATATTTAATAAAGTAATATAAGCTTGTATTAAAAGTTTTTTATACCTTTTCCAAAAAACATAAAGCCTAGATAGATTAGAACCCTTGTTCCTTTTGCCTTGCTGATGCTCTAGCAAGATGCCCACTCGAAATCTAACCAGGCTGCTTTCATTTCCAGCAAAACTAAATCATATTTTAAGTGGGAGACTCTGAACACACTGGCTTAAGAACTGTCAAGAAGATAAGCAAGAGAACTATGAATCTTTATGTATCCTGCACACTGTCTACTAAATCCATTAGAAATATGTTCAAACAGGAAATCCAATGATGGTTTAGGAAAGGGAAGTTTATTTTACCCTAATAATAAGAAGTATAAATGTAGATGACTACTGACTTTGGTAAAGTAATTCAATAAGAGTTCATGGATCTCTTAGTGTTTTCTCGTAGATATAGGATGGCTGTTAACTGCTCCATGTATTGTGCCTATGATCAATGCTGAAAGGGGGAATGTTGAAGCCAGCTAGGCCACCACTTTTATTAGAGAAGCAAACTCTTTCCTAGAATCGATATGCTGCCCCTTGTTCTAGAAGATTATGTTGAGGTCCCATTTACCAGGAATGGGGTTACATGATCACTCTTTGCTGTAAGAGAGAACAGAAAAAGAAGAAACAAAATTAGAATTGATTGGACAATTCAAATGCTGCCTTGGACAGTAAGGTTTCTCCTGGCACATGAAGACGAGGAGGTAGGAGGTAGTAGGAATAAAGATTGAGTGAACAACCAACAGTGTCTGCCCCATTCATTGGCTGAATAAAAGGCAGTTTTGAAAGAACTATTGTATTCATTTTAAGTTTACATGAAAATTATTGTGAACAAAAAAATATGTATTGACCATTGAATTCCCAGTAACTATGCTAGGTCTCTTTACAATTGTTGAAATTTTAAAAAACATAATAAAGCTACTAGAATAATTTCTGCTATGATGATTGTTTTAAAAAGAGAATTTTTTTTTTCCAGAAAGATTGCTGTATTAGGGAACCATTTGAGCATCATACAATTTCATATTTGTTTGTTTGTGAATTTGTTCATTTACAACCGTAGGTGAATGTAGAAAAATGTATCTGGATAACCTGCTGGCACAGGAATACACAAACCTCACACATGTACACTTTAAATGTTTCCAGTGGCCTCGGTCTCTGCCTGTGTTAGGAGCCGCACCCACCCACATCTGCTGCTGTTTCTGATTTCAAAAGATACGTCTTCCACCATTTCACAACAACTCACACACAGCAACCTTTCTGAGATAAACGTCCTCAAGCAAATGCCAGGCCTTTTTCAACATAAAGGGGCATTTTTTATAGTATTTATGTATGTCTTAAACATTGGTCATGTATAAACCGTGACAAGTGGTATCTATCTGGTTGTATTAGATTTCTATCTGGTTTTTAAGAGCCACTAAGAAAATTTCTGAATGTTGTATCCCTAAACCTCTTAATTCCTGCAGTTTTTAATTGTATGATTTTGCCATGGTACTATGTCTAAGTAGTTTAATTGTGGTAGTTATTAGGAGTAATGCACATACACACAGATATACACATATGTAATACATATATGTGATACACATGCTAGATTAGAAAATAATTGAGACACTTTTTTTTCATTTGATTTGGTTTGGTTTGGTCCTGGAGATTGAAACCAGGGGCACTTTACCACTGAGCCACATCTCCAGCCCTTTTTTAAAAAATTCTTCATTTTGAGACAGGATCTCACTAAGTTGCTGAGCCTGGCTTTGATTTCATAATCTTCCTGCCTCAGCCTCCCAAGCTGTTGGAATTACAGGTATGTGCTTGAGGACCTAGCTTGAGACACTTTTTTACATAAATTTCAAAAGTTCATTTTATATCTTAGAGACAAATATGCCTTTAAAAATATTTATTAAATATATTTGGGAGGGTTTATTTTTAAAAGACTGTCAATTATATTAAATATAAGGCATTCAATATACCAAGCTATATATAGATGTCTCTATGGTGAGTAGAGATTTGTCATTTATCTTTTAAGATAATTATGCAAATTGCATTCAGCCCACACATTCTGAGTTTTTCCATTTTCCAATTTTTTTTAATCTCTTTTTCTTATCTATAAATCTTGTCTAACAGGAGTTAGGCAAGATTCAGAATGGGCAGCACAAGGCTGTATTTTGGTGGTCCCTTTACAATAGAAAAGAATATATTTTCTGAGTTAGGGTCTCTTTTCCGTAATGAGGGAATACAAAACTCTCAGCACATTCCCAGAGCTTCGGAGAGGTTCCCCCTTGAGAGATCTCAGTAAATACAAGGAAAAACAACCTCAAAAAAAATTATGCAAGGCCTCTCACCATTTGCCTTTCTTTCTCTCAATGCTTGCTACCATTTTTTTCTGCTTTCTGCATTCCTCCTCAGTTCAAACATTTTTCCCTCTCTTATTTTCCCCAAACAGACTGCCCTTTCCTGGAAGTCCATCTATGGAACAGATTAAAGAAATCAAGCCTGACTCTGCACTTGTGTTCCGAGAGACCAAGACATAGAATAGGGTTTCAAACACCAAGGAATTGATTTAATTCAAGAGTAGTATGTGGAAAATAAGAAACTGAGAAGGTTCTAGGCTTCTGTGGGCATTTCCCTCTGCTTCTTATGACTTCTACCAGATCACTCTCAAACATGAATCCTTTTTTCTCAGGAATTTGGATCCGGGTTTGGCAAGTATGTTTTTAATAAATAACCTCTGAATGTTTGATTTTTAAAAGCAGAAGCATTACTTTGAGTACTTACAGTCAAAATTAAAAACAATCTGTTCTGTTGTCATGCTAATGCAAATTCTCACAGCCCAGACTCCCTGGGTTGCAGGTGAATGATCCTCATCAGAGGCTACACAGGATCCTGTTTTCCTCCAGGCAGCAAAGCACAACACAGTGTCCCAAGCGCACCTGTACACACCCATAGGCACACATTAAACCCAAAAGCCGCAGGTTATGCTAATTCGTACTTCCCTTCCTCCTGGCCTCACCTTGCTCACTTTTCTTCCCCACATCAACCCCCAGGCCTTGCCCCACACAATAGGATTTTTGTTTGCTTCAGTAGCATGTGACAGCACAGTCCCTGCTTTGCCTAGCTCTGTGCTGCAAGTCTCTCAGGTAACAGGTGGCAGCTTCCCCAGACGGATTCTAGGCATAAAATAGAATGACCTCATAGGGGTGGAGCTCTGGGACTCCGTAGAGGTGGCAGTCACAGCCAGGTAACCCTGGAGCGAAGCTGTTTAGTTAGAAGGGGGCAGTTAAACTCCTCACTCCAGTGGCTTTCACCCTCACCCTGAAGCACCTTAGCACTGTTGCCTGCAAACCCCTGAAGGTTGTCTTTGCCCCAGATGGAGCCCAAAGGTGCCACTGGGAAAGAAAACATGGGCACCAAGAGAAAGAACCTGACCTTCTTGAGGCCCAGGATGTATATGCTGGAGAGACGGAAGACTGACACTGTGGTTGAGAGCAGTGTTTCTGGGGACCACTCTGGTACTTTGAGGAGGAGCCAGTCTGACAGAACTGAATACAACCAGAAATTACAAGGTAACAAAAAAAAAAAAAAAAGAAATCAATTGTCCCATGTTATTGCACTTCCAGCTCTGTTTTTGCTACACTCCCATTTGCAAAGGAAACACTTAAAGCAGAGGAGAAATTAATACTACCTTTCCTTCTCATAAAATAAGAAATGCAAGTAAATGTGTCTTAAAAATTATAGGGAGAATTCATTACATGAATCAATACTTAAAGAGCCAAATTTGAATTATTTTAATATTTCTTTTTGTTTTGTTTTTGTGTGTATGCACATAATATTTTTTTCTTCTACTTCCCTTTTCCTCTGCTTTCCCTTCCAACCCAACTTAAGAAGTGGGAAGCAACAAAAAGCAAATGATATAGAAACCTACAAAAAATAGTTTATCTCAATAGGTAGATGTGGGATGTTACACCATGAAATCGGTGTATCTAGGTAATCGTGCTGAACTGTGATTGTGGTTACCTAAGGCAACATGAAGCTACAATCACATCTGTGAAAAGTAAATCATGTTATATAGTTCGCAGAATGGTATAACAGGATTTGCTGACAATCACTTGGGTGATCCTTCCCTTAGAATGAATTGAATAACACCCAAATATGGTAAGAGGTATTTAGCATACTTATGCTGAATGACTTTAGAGAAAATAACTTCAGTTTATTTTGACATTTTGACACAGGTATTATAACATGTATCTGTTTCAGGCCCTGAATTTCTGTCTCTTTCCATCTATTCGTTCTCCTAAACCTCATTTGCTCTAGTAAAACTTCATTTAATGTTGATTGTGTATTGTAGTGTTTTAAGTCTCTGCTGCAGTTCCTGCTAGGTGCTCTTCCAGATCCTGACTTTCCTGCTTTAAACACAATGTGTGTTTGAACTCTCACCATTCCATTGTGAACCGTCATTCTGGACTCAAAAACTGTAATGACCTTAGAAAGACCAATGAAATATGCTTGCACTTAGCATATGGCTTTCCTCAGAAATGAGCTTAGACTCAGTAATGCAAATCAATTTAAGTAAAATAAGTTAAATGCATTTAAGTTAAATCTTTAAAAATTATTACTATGAATTAATGGTTTAAAAATTACACATAGTTTAGCATTAGATAGCACTGTCAGTCTTATCCTTAAATTTTGTATTTAATGAAGGAAGAATATTGTTTGATCTCTGAGTTTAATTTCTCTGAAGGCAATTTATACATTGGAAAGAACACATACTTTAAACTCATACACATTTGCTTCCTAATCCTGACTCTTCAATTTACTACCTACAAGATTTAGAGCTAATTACCTAATATTTCTGAATCCCAATTTCCCTATTTGTGGATGTGAAACTAACGATACTTACTGCATATATAGTGTTGTTGAGGAAATAAAATTGGAAAATTACATAAAACATTTATTATATTGCCCAACACAAGTTATGTGCTCAATAAACTGTAGTTATTTAAAATTCTAGGAATAATGGTACTATAATAATAGAACAGGGTGTATCCTATATTAATCTAAATTCACATAAATTTATTGATCATTTTTAAAATTCTTCTTTGTTCTTTGGTAAAGAGACTACATATATAAATTCAGGAAAATTTCATTACTTGATCCCTAATAACATGTTTTTTTCTGTCTGAGTTTTTCTAATTCAGCAATGTTGTGGTTCAGATTTTACATTGGTAGAATAAAAATAGAAAGGATTTTTTGCTACTCAATATTTGCTATTCTTTTCCTAAATTTACCTAAAAATAAGTCTATAACCACAAACCAGAGTGGATGCATGTTGTTACTTTACAGGAGACCTCAGGCTTCTTAGATACTCCATGTGATTTGTGGGTTTCTACAAACTTTGTTGGTTTCTGTCTTTGAAGGTAGAAGGAAGACACAGGAGCTCACCCATGTCCCTAGAACTATTTGTTGCTTGAGAAAAATTAGTAGGGAGAATGTGAGAGTGCATCAGAGCTGTTAATTTGACTGGCCTCTTGATAAAAAGAATTCTTTAGGTGTAACTCAATAAAATCCAAGCTGAGATCTCGTATGTAATAGAGTTTTTAGAATGATTCTGCTCTAACTGTTTTGCCAAACATTATGAGGAATTTTCTGATTAATGTTCAAAGAAATTCATTCTTCAGATTTGCTTCCTGGCCTGTACTAGGTCTACTACCATGAAGATGACTCCAATATTTCTTTAAGAAACTCTTTATTGTTGAAATGGCAAGGGATTTTCTTCCATTTTTTCTTGAAACTTGTAGACCTCAAGAGGCATTAAATAAAGACCTGGGCAGTTTAGAGCCCTTTGACTGTTGGCCCAAAGCCATTGTGATTTCACAGTGTTCTTTCGAAGACTGGAATTTCTAGTACCTCCACTGTCCTCAAATTATTCAACTGTTGTTCTTGAGTGCTGTGTTGGTACTTTAGTATTCACTGCTCTAATTCTCTTTAGAAGCATGGTCTCTGGATTCTGGATAATGTAAGATCTTTCTTCAGTGCCTGTGAGCTTGAGTCAACTGATGACTACATCTCCTATCTACTTACTTTCTGATATCACATTAGTGGTGTAAATCTTAAATTGCAATAATAACTTTACAAAATGGTGCCATGGATAAGAGTGCCTGGATTGGAACAATAGAACATGGCTCTCAAGAGGTTATCCTAAAGCCTCTGTCGAACATTGACATCAAGGCTACCAAATCATGACTATTTAAGCTGCACAATCATAGCTCAATGCTAACTTAATGTTAGTTTTTTTCATCCCTTCAACAGAATCATTCAGTTTGTTGGCATTTATTGCACATGTTATATGCTGTGTCTTGGAGGTTACAATGGTGAGTGAAAACAGACTGTGTGCTAGGAATCACAACTACAAAATGATTAATAAAATATGTTTGACCTTTACTGCAAAGAGGCTTAAAGTTTATCTTGGGAAAACAAATCAATGCAGTGAACTGGCATGACGGAAGTAGATGGGACCAGCAGATCCACAGGAGAGGAATGGTGGGGAAGGTTCTTGGGCCTTTAAGAGATGATGAGTTGGGGATGGGGAGAAGCTAGAGAATGGGAAGAGAGGGAGGAGTATTTTAACTTCTTCACTGTACTTTGTCGGAAATTCTATTGTTTTGTACTTATTGACTATTATTGACTCATTTTGCATCCAATTTCTCTCAAATCCCTGCCCCCAAACTCCATGAAAAAGATGTATCTGTTTTGTTAACTGTTCCATCTTTGCACACAATCATGCCAAGCACAGAGTAACTGCTCAGTAACTGCTAAAAAGAATTAATGAATTCCTTAAATGATCTGGCCAAGGTTGAGAGCTGGTTTAAAGAAAGGAACCCGGGTGGGAAATAAGAGTTCTTGCATATCTGTCTTCATACATGAAGACACATGTCTCCATCAATAAAGGAAATTCCTCAGCAAAAAGTATATGTAAACATATCAGAGGTAGAAATATACAGAATTTCCAATATAATGAGTAATTCTTAGTGGAAGCTTATCTCATTCCAGACTCTGCTTTCTAGAGCACACAATGATCAGACCTCAGTTCAGTCCTTTTCTTCCATTAATTCCAAGAGCTATGTCATCCTTCCAGGCTAGCTCAACTCATGATCCCCATTTTACTGGAAGCCTTAGAGATGATCTAAATAGGGGAAATTTAGTGATCTGGTTGTTAAAAACTTAGAAGGGATTTTGTCTTGGATGATGCATGTTAACTCCACATTTGAAATGTGCGTAATTTAAAGTTATATACAAGCATGTCTGTGCATATGCAGATGAAGATATCTATAGAATGTAGACATAGGGATGTGGTATGTGTGCGTGTATGTGCATGGGTGTATACTTGAGACATTTCTGCAATGACTAAACTTTTAATAAAAAATTGTATTGATTAACATTAAGCAATATTTTTGAAAACCCTAAATGATTAAGATTATTGACATTATTTTCCAATATTGGTACCATGACTAAATGTTTGTATCCCTTTTAAGTTTGTATATTGAAACCTAATCCCCAATGTGACGGTATTTGGAAGTGGAGACTTTGGGAAATATAAAGTAGAGCCCTTATGAATGGGATTAGTGCCCTTGTAAGAAAAGATAGGAGACAGTTTGCTTCTCTTTGCTATCTGCCATGTGTGGATGTGGAGATCTGCAAACCAGGATGCAGGTACTCACTAGGAATGGATCTACCAGGACCTTGACTGTGGATTTTCCAGCATTTAGAATGATGAAAAAGAAATGCTTCTTGTTTAATCACCCAATCTGTTTGTTAAAGCAGACTAAATTGAGCAAGACAACGGTCAATCACCTGTACCTTCTATGGTAGCACTAAGTCACCTCTGCTTAATTTTTTAGCCAATGTGTATTTTTTGCTAATTAAGCGCCGAAAGCAAGAATTAGAGAAAATGGATAAAATGTCATTATTGTTGCAGTAACACATGTCAAAAATCCTGTCTTCAATTCATAGCAGGTCTGTGGTACCTTCTATTGTTGTTATTATTATTATTATTATTATTATTATTATTATTATTAATCATTTTATTCTCATTAAGCAAGGATTGGTTAGTTTTCTTACTATATTGAAAATAATGAATCACTCGATAGCAGGAACTTTATACAGAATAAAATATTGTGCAGGGCACAGCGCTTGCCTTACACGTATGAGGCACTAGGTTCCATCCTCAGCACCACATAAAAATAAACAAATAAAAAAAAGGCATGCTATCCATCTACAGCTACAAAAAATAAATAAATATTGTTCAGTATAAGGACAAATGGCTCAACTAATAAGTTAGACTTGATAAAAGCACGAGACCACATAATTTGTAATGACTGTAAACAATCTGTACATGAGCAGGAGTTGTTCACATGGGAAGATTCGTTGTCTTTTATTCCGACCTTATAAAGGGTGGGATGAAACAAGCTATTGGGCTCTCTGTGCATGTTTCTAACCCAGGGCTAAGAGTCCTTTTTATTTTGTTTTTATTCCTGCCTGTCCTTTGAGTATTGAGCAGCTCCTTCCC